TCTCTCTCTCTCTCTCTCTCCCTTTCTCTCACCCCCTCTCTCTCGTAATGTTTCGACATATTTATTGAACTGTTGTGACAACAGAATACAACCTTGGTGTCTCACATAAGTGTTTTCTTCAACTCAATTTTTTTATGTTTCCCCGTTCTAATGTCACTTATATACGACCTGAATTCATGAGTAGGTTTAGCAACTTGTAAGCTCGAACTAAATCTCTCTTGCACCAAAATGTAGTATTGTTTAAAAAATTTGTTAACTGTATCTGAGATAACTGCAAATGTGAGGCAGCGTGGTGGAATCAGGCTGTCGTCTAAATAATCAAAGTGATACAACTTGCATTTTTCCGCAGGTTTGTGATTTTTTATCGAATTTTCGGGTTGGCTCAACACACACCTTTCATGCCCATTAAAAAACTCATTCCTGTGTTAATTTTTCTGAAAAAACGTTGATTAAAGGCACAAAAAGATGTAAATTGTCTGTTACCACGCACTGTTAAACTAAGTAAATAACTAATCTTTGACGGTCATTTTCGCACTAATTTTATTTTTGAAAACTGGTGACCCCCACCTCCTTCTTTCGCAAATATCTCGACTTGCATTAAATATAAATGGATATTTTTTCATCCAAATAAAGACATGTGAACAAGCTTTAAGATGATACCATTAACTTTACCTGCCCAAAAATTGACGAGAGCCTGATTCCACCGCGTAGCCTCACAACTGTTATTGTTGTTTTCTTCAGCAAATTTATTAATATTACTCCTTCAAATAAAGAAATCAAACCGAACTGACATGCTTAACAACTACTACGTTCGAAAGTTGCATCAAAAGGCTACATATTATATTGCACTTTTATTTTATATTCTCTGCAAACGTGTCATTCCTTTCCTCTTTTCATCTCGTGCTGATGCCTTTGTGCATTTCAAGGTATTAAAAACCTTCGTCCTTCAAGAATATAAATTTGTGAAAGATATATTATGTGTGTGTGTGTGTGAGTATGATTG